TGTTCAGTTTCAGTTTGTGTCAGTTTAGGTAGGTTGTGTTTTTCTAAGTATTTGTCCATTTCCTCTAGATTTTTATATTTGTTTGAGTATAGTTTTTCATAGTATTCTTCTCCAAAGTGCATGGAACATTCTCTAGAATAGATCACATTCTAGGTCACAAGGCAAGCATCAGTAGATTAAAAAACGTAGAAAAAATACAAACCATCTTCTTTTGATTTCTTGACTCCTGGTGTTAATTGTGGAGCTGAGCAGGCTGTAATTGTTAACAACCTCAATCTTTTCTCCATCTATCATAGTACTGCCAGTTTGCCCAGTGGTGAGATTCTTTTTTTTCTTGATGTTAAGCTTCAATCCATATTGAAGACTGCAGTCCTTGACCTTCTGTAGCAAACACTTCAAGTCTTTTTCAATTTCAGGTTCAAGTCTTCCTCAGTTTCAGCAAGCAGGCTTGTGTCATCTGTATAACATAGGTTGTTGATGACTAGCTGTGTTTAATTCTCCACACCCGAAATATAGAACATTAGTTTTGGGTTGGTCTTTTTAAAAAAAATTTAAACTGTAGATAATGAAATTCGGAGAAAACTTAAAGTAATATACATCCTTTTATGCTTCATTGATTCTTCAAAAGTTAGGTTTCTTAAGTCTCTAGAACATTAGTTTTATAAGCACCACATAGTTATGAGTTCATCCAATGATAATCTTTAGGTTTTTTTCTTACTGTTGGATAAGACCCTTTGAAACTTATGCTCGTTGAGACTTATGTTTACTTTGCATGTGTGTTATGGTCATATTGATTATTTATAACTCTTAGCAACTCTGAACCTGGCGACACATCAGAACCTTGCCATATCCTGCACCATCTCACGATCCCTGATGTGCTTGTTCCCATTCCTACAGTCACTGTGTCAGGCCATCTTGTAGACAATCTTCCTCTCTTCTTCCTCTAACAGCATGCTCCAAATATGTGAGATCCAGTTTCATCATCCTTGACTGTAAGAAGCACAGTGGTTGCACTTTCTCTAGGATACATTTGTTGGGTTTTTGCCAGTCCTTGGGACATTTAGTACTTTCATGTCAACATTTCAGTTCACAAGCATCAGTTCTTCTGTCATCCCTTACTCACTGTCAGCTTTCGATGCCTAGGAAGCATTGTAGCTAATCAGTGTTTATACATTATCAGTTTGCATTGTTATAAACATTATCCTTGATAGCCTACTCTGAATCTGACATGATGTAGTTGCTGTTAGATACTTAACAATAGTTATCAATCAGATGGACTCTATGAGCAGCAATTCTGAACCTTGCTCTGTTATGTACCATCTTTATGGTTTCTGATGTTAGGGGTCACCAGAATGTACTTCATGGGCCAAGTCTGAGTGCTATCTGTTTTTGCAAGGTCCTTGAGTTAAGAATGGTAGCTAAGAAGTTTATAAATGGCTGATTTTAAAAACGGAAAAAAAAACCCTACAAAAAAAGTCTTATATGTTAAAACTATATGAAACTGATCTTTCCATATTCATAAGAGTTTTATTGACATGTACATACACTTACTCATTTAATATGTGACTGAATTTGCTTCATTATGAAAGAGAGTAGTTGCAAGATTTACTATATAAGCTATAAATTTAGAATGTTTGCTTTCTAGACCATTAAAAACAAATGCCTGCTCTTGCCTTAAGATAGATTACTTTTTCTGTCTCTGTCTCAATAATTATTTTTTTATGCCAGCATAGGATTGGGGTTTCAGTCTCCCTTTTCCCTCCACTTTGTCTAATTTTAGTAAGGCTTAAAGTCACAGTCGACATCTAGCACTAACATATGTTACAGTTTCAGATGTGTTTGAGCTGAGAAAGTTTGACTAATACTGTTTTATGTAATACTCAGTATATCAGTCTGTTTTGCATATAACATTTGAAAATTTAAAATGTAACAATTTACTTTTTTACAGGAAATTAAGAGAGAGACAGAATCCAAGGATGAGAGTTTGCCTATCAAACGTGAAAGGCATGGGAATGTAGCAAGTCTTGTACAGCGGATAAGCACCTATGGACTTCCAGCTGGAGGAATTCAGCCACATCCACAAACCAAAAACATTAAGAAGAGTATGTAAATTATTGCTTTTCTATGTATTGTCTTCAACATAGAAAAAAAATGACAACCTTTTATAAACAGTGTTAAGAAAAATTTCTTTTAACTTTCTGCAACAGACCACAGTAAGTTTTTAATTAGAAAACTCTGAAGAAAGGTGGACAATCTCCTGCATTTTACAGCAGTGCAGTGTGGTCCATAAGTTGGTTTCAGCTCAGAAGCAGTTATTTAGTAATTACATGTTGTTGTTGTTGTTGTTATGTGCCGTCAAGTCGTTTGCGACTCATAGCAACCCTATGCACAACAGCCCTAAACCCTGCTCTATCCTGGGCCAACCGCACTGCCTCTGACAACACCCATCCCGATTACCCCAGTCACCGAATCAATCCATCTTATAGAGGGTCTTCCCCTCCTGTGCTGTCCCTCCACCCTCCCAAGCATGATGTCCCTCTCCAAGGACCTGTCCCTCCTTGCAACATGTCCAAAATATGTCACCTGGTCATCATTTTTAATCATGTGTAGTTAGTAACACTGTGTTAGTCAAACATGAGGAGCTGACAGTCATAATTATTGTTTCCATTTTCACAGTTTCTTCTGGGCCCACTGTACCTACTGTGTACATCTATCCTGTTGAAAATCTTCCTTTTTCCTCTGGTTTGTTACTTTCCCAAGCATGATATCCTTTTCCAAGGATTGCCCTTAGCATGCCCATAAATGTGAGACAAAATCATGGCGTACTTGCTGGACTCTGGCAAACTGCTTCCAAGACAGGTGTGTTTATTCTTTGGTGGTTGTTATGTGCTGTTGAGTCACTTGGGACTCATAGCCACCCTGTGTACAACAGCCCTGAAACCTGTTCTATCCTGTGCCAACTTGACTGTCTCTGACACACCTACCTTCATTACCCCAGTCAGTGTATCTGTCCATCTCACTGACGGTTTCTGTCTTTCTCCGTCCGTCCCTCCACCCTTCCAAGCATGATGTGCTTCACCAAGGACCAGTCCCTCCTTGCACTCTGCCCTAGTATGTAAATGACATTTTTAATTATGAAAGCAACTCTATTTTTTCTCACCTTATCATCTCTGGCACGGTAGATCATATGATTATCTGATTCAAAATGTCCATGCCAAGCCATCTCACTTCGCTAATACCTGGTATGTCAAATGCATTCCATTTCTTTCTTAACAATGTCCAGTTTTCCTATATTCATGCTGCTCACATTCCACATTTTAATCACTAGTGTCTGCTTATAACTTTTCCTCCTCCTTTGGTAGTCCATGTTGTGTTTAATATTCTTTTTCAACTCCACATTTAAAAAACATCCATTCTTCAAATCCAAGATCTCTGTAAATGTTCATTAAAATTAATTTTAAAAAATCCATTCTTCTTGAGCTTTCCTTCTTTATTGTCCATTTTCACATGCCAGTGAAGTAATTGAAAAGATTATGACTTGTGTCATCTGTAGGAATTATAAATTAAAACACGAGTCTTGTATTAGTATTCTAGACTTCCCTGAAAGGTTAACACTTTAGTATTTTTTCTTTAATATTATTTATTTATGTTATTGTTATGTGCTGTTAAAGTGGCTAAAACTCATAACAATGAATAAAAGCTTTGAACCTTGCACTGTCCTGAGCACGTTTCATTGTCTCAGACACATCTGTCCTCATTGCCACAGTCACTGTGTTGGTCCATCTCATCCCGGGTTTTCCTCTTCTGTGCTGACCCCTCTACCTTTCTAAGCATGATGTTTTTCTTTAAATATTGGTCCCTCCTGGCAACATGCCTCAAATATGTGAAATGGAGTTTCAAAATCTTTGTTTCTGATAAGCAACGTGGTTTCCCCCTTTCCAGGACAGAGCTGTTTGTTGTCTTCACAGTCCATGGTGTGATCAGTATTCTTCTCACAACTAAAAATTATTGCTTCTTCTTCTGTCATCCTTAGTCATTGTCCAGCTGTCAGATACATAGCAAGATACTGATAAGACCATGGCCTGGATCAGGCTCACCTTAGTCTCTAGACTAACATCGTTGCTTTTAACACCCTGAAGAGTTCTCTGACAGCAGACTTTCCTAAAGCAACTCGTCTTTTGATTTCCTGACTCTTAGTGCCAAGAGTGTTTTTTTGTGGATTAAACAAGATGAAATCATTAACAACCTCAGTCTTACCTACATCTGTTGTAATGCTCCCTCTGCCTTTTGTTTTTGTTATCTTTTTCTTTTCTCTGTTTTTTTGATGTTGAGAAGTAGTCCATATTAAATGCAGCAGTCCTTGATTTTCTGCAGCAAAGATAAAAATCCTCCTCATTTTGGCAAGCAGAGTATGTCATCTGTGTAATGGAGATTACTGGGTGCATTTTCCTTCAATCCAGATGCCACTTTCTTTATAAAATCTAGCTGCCCGAATGACCTGTTTTATATATAGACTAAAAAAATATGAAGAAAGGATATATCCTTAACAAAATTCTTTCTTGGTTTTGAACATGCAGTGTTGTTCCTTGCTTTGTTCAGATAACAGCTTCCTGATCAGTTATAGGTTTTTCATGAGCATAATCAAGAATTCTGGGACTACCATTCTTCTCAGTGTTAGCTACAATTTATTAGGATCCACGTAGTCAAATGGCATTGCATAGTCAATAAAACACAAATAGATGTCCCTTCAGCCAAGATCCATCTGACATCGGCAGTTCTATCACTATTGCCACAGCCTCTTCTAAACCCTCTTTGAACCTTTGGAACGTCACTTTCAGTCTATTCTTCTAGCCAATTTTGCATGATCTTCAGTAATATTTTTTATATGTGTTGTAAATTGTACTGTTTGAAAATTTTTAAATTCTGTTGAATCACCTTTCTTGGAAATGGGAGCATATATGGATCTGTTATAGTCAGTCAGGGAGCTGTCATCCAAATTTCCTGGCATACACTGCTGAGCATATCTAAGACTACATCTTTTGAACCATATCAACTGTTATCAATTCCTTGGCCTTACTTTTGCCAATGCCTTCAGTGCAGCTAGAACCTCTTTCATCATTATTGGCTCTATATATGTTGTTGTTGTTGTTATGTGCCATCAAGTCACTTGCGACTCAGGCGACCCTATGTACAACAAGAGCCTAAACACCGTTCTATCCTGTGCCAACCTCGCCATCTCAAACATACTCATTCCCACCCTCTACTCACAGAATCGATCCATCTCATCAAGGGTCTTCTTCTCCTGTGTCGCCCCTCCACTCTCCCAAACATGATGTCCCTCTCCAGGGACCAGTCCCTCCTTGCAACATGCCCAGAGTATGTCAGATGAAGCTTAAGAATCCTTGACTCCAAGGAGCATTCTGGCTTCACCCTCTCCAGGACAAACCTGTTTGTTCTCCTAGCAGTCTATGATATATTCAGCATTCTTCTCCAGCACCACAGCTCAAAGGCATATATATATATGTTACTTCTTGAAATATTTCAGTGTTGACCAATTCTTTTCTTACAATGAAATTCCTCTATCTTCTTTTGATGCTTCCTCGATCATCCAAGATTTTGCCCATAGTATCTCTTGGTATTGCAACTCGGGGCTTATATTATTATTTAGGGATTTTTGAATTGTGTTGGAGGACAGTATTGAATATCCATAAACTGTCAAAAGAAGAAACAAATGTGTCTTGGAGAAAGTGCTATCAGAGTACTCTTTAAAGGCAAGGATGGTGAAGTGTTGTCTCATAAAATATTGGCATATTGTTAGGAAGGACCAGTCCTTGGAAAAGCACATCACATTTGAAAAGGTAGAGGGTCAATATAAGAGAAGATGACCCTTAGTGAGATGAATTGACTTAGTGAGGTAGAGTGACTGCGTCTGAATGAGGTCAAGCCTGTCAGAGATGATGAGGATGGCACACAGCAGGATGCAGAGCTGTTGTTCATAGGGTCTCTGAATCATACTCTGCTCAATGGCACCTAAAAATAGCAGTTCCTTTTTCATGTGATTTTTACTTGAGATGATTGATTTGACCAAAAATCCTGCTGTAATTTTTGTAGGAATTGTATTTCATCAGTAGATGATGTCAGAGATAATTGGCATCTTTATAATATGGAGCCCCTAATAAAACATTGTGGTGATTGAATATTTAATTTTTATATTAATATAATTAATGATATCATTTCATATTTACTGTTGTTAGGTGCCATTGAGTTGAGTATGACTCATAGTGACCCTATTAACAAAAGATCTGAACCCTGTTCTTTCTTCATACTTCCTGACACACAAGAGCCCATTGCAGCAGTCACCATGTCAGTCCACCTAGCTGAGCGTCTTCTTCTCTTTCACTGACCCTCTACCATTCCTAGCATCTTGTCCTTCTCTAAGGAACAGTTCCTCCCACCATTCTTAACATTCCCAAAGTATGTGAGCCAAAGCCTATTCTTGCTTCCAAAGAGCATTCCAGCAGTACCCTCTCAAAGGCGCTTGCTACTTACATATTTGCTACTTACCGTTAGATATTAAGGTGTGTAACTTAGAAAGTTTATATTTTAGAAATATAAATTTAGAAGGTATAACTTAATATTTATGTGTATTAAAATATTGAATATATATAAAAATATAATATTGTGGCAACTCAGTGATACCTAATAACAGTAACAGGAGGAAAAATTAAAGTCAAAACCCACTGCCATTCAGGTGATTCTGCAACCCTATAAAACTGAGTCGAACTGCCGAATGGGATTTTTGAGAGTGGCCTCTGGTGGCCTGTGGCAAAAAGCTGCGCTGCAATCCTGCTGCAGTTAATGCCTGTAAAAACTTGCTGGCGGGTCAGCTGTGAGTCAATTCTGACTCTACCACAAACAACAACAAAAAATTCTTTATGGGGGCTGATTACCTCATCTTTCTTGCCATGGCATCTTATGTGTTTGAACTGCTAACCTTTGATTATCAATTCATTACCTGCTTTGTTACTGTGACTCCTAAGAAAAAAACAAACCAAAACCACTGCTGTCAAGATGATTCCAGCTCATGGTGACTCTCAACTGG